CACACACACACACACACACACACACACACACACACACACACACAGTGCTGTGATGGTAGGAAGTTGTCCCACAGATGGAATTAGACTGACCAGGGCCCCAGTTTTGCATCTCTCCCTTATGAGATGCATTACAATGTGCAAATATTTTACTACTCTGAGTTTAAATCTCTACATATGCAACAAGGTATTGGTGAAGCCTATCTAGTAAGATTATTGTAATGATTAATCTTATAAAAGCACTTTGCATTGTTAAATGTCATGTGGAAGAATACTATTATAAATACCAACAAGGTCAGGTGTATCACATTCTAGAATTTTAGGGTTATGGCTTTCTCATTTTACTGAGATTTATTTTTATGTTTTTTAGTTTGCTGCTGGATTTAACAAGAAATTCCTTTTATCTCCTTTAATAGTCTACTTCAAGACTACTAACACTAGCCTGACCCCTAGTGGTTCATCAAAGAACTTTAACTCAAAATTTTTTTGGAATGTTGTGACACTTCAGTATTCTGATTAGTTCTATTTGTTTGTAAAGACAACAGAATGAGTCATTTAATTTTGTTGAAATTTGAACATATGTATTAATCAAGTCAACTAAAGACTCAGGTTGATTAATTTTTTCACCTATTATTTTATGTTCACAAAGCCAATGAAAATGTGTAGGCTCACACAAGGGCTTGGGCTTGTGGTGGAAGATGACATACTTTTTCCCTTTACTGAAAAAAAAACAAAAACAAAAACAAAAAAACTACCAACATGTAAAATCAGCTCCATCCTTTGTCCATTACAGTGTTCTAATCCAATGCTTATCTTGGCTTGCCTTCCCCTTTATGTCCCTCTGTTCTCCTGGAACTGCTTTTCAAATATGATGTACATCAGATTAGCCATTTTGGCTATTTATAAAACTTACATGTGTTCCTTGTGATACATGCAGCTCTTAATAACTCTTAGGTTTTATACTGCATCAGTTCTCTTGTTCTTTAACTATATTTTTCTCCTTAGTATTAGTTGTGGTTATTTTCAAGAAGTTTTAAACACTGGATTTTCTTTAAGAATATGCATTTTCCCAAATAATATTCATAACCTCCAGACTTTTGTTCTCAAAGTTTTACTAATAACTAAATGTTTAATTTTCATTTGTTGTAGCACATTCTTAACAATTCAGTTAACAATTACAATCATAATTATTGTCCAAAACATATCTTTCTCTTTCTCTCTCAACTATGTATTCTGATTGTTCCGTTTTCATGATAACTCCACTCTTCAAATTCTCTGGCCTGCTCTCTCACTGAGACCGCCATTTCTTCCCCTGTGAAATCTCACCTTCTCTGTGTTTCCTCACTTCAACTCTTTGCTAATTCCTAATTACTATTGTAAGAACCCTCAGTGTTTCTTCTCCGAGCCAATACCATAACTTCAGTTCCATGAAAGAGATTCTTACTGATATCAAACCCTTTTTACATGTAGAGAAAGTTTATCTCAAATAAGGTTCTCATAATATTCTTTGCTTAAGAAATGAAGACAATAATCACTACATTAAATTTGTTTAGAAAATTTCACTGCTCAAAGTCCTTTCACACGCAATGCATAATGGCTTTCTACTGCTGATTACACTTGGGTCCGTATGGACTCAGCAGCCCTGAGAGGTTGATTACACAGTTTTCTGTTGCTGTTAGGTAGACATAAGTCAACCAGCTTCCCTTCCTCAGGCTTCTGGTTTGTTTCTACCTGTGGTTACACCATGGATGTTGTAAAACACCTCCAAACTGCATTTAAATATTGTCAGTACACTAATTTTAAGTAAAGCCAAGGTAACAGGGAAAACCCAAGAACCCCAAACTCGTCTTCATCACAGAACTTTATTTTTCTAATTTTATTAAAATTCAACAATGTTTATCTTAAAACACAATAATCATCTCAAAAAGTACAATAAATGAAATGATTTCCAGTGACTGCTCCAGAGAGGCTTGGTCTATTTAGTTCAACCCAGTCTACTCAATTTAATAACTCTTTACAAAGATGACACCCGGACACTGTGTCTGGTAACAAAGTAGAAAACTTTCATTCTGTCTGGAGCTAAGTCGAGGCTGTTCTGGTATTCATAATGTAAACCAGGCTAACCTTAAAATTAAAAGTGATCCTCCTGCTTCTGTCTCAAGTAATGGGGTTACGGGCATGGAAGTGATACATCACACTCCGCTAGCTTGAAAATGGTTGTAAAAAATGTGAAATTTGTAAAGGTCTATAATTAAGAGTGCACACTATAATCTTGGATATGTGTCATCATGGACAGAATTCTTGGCATGGGAACAATGACTTGAGTGTGAATCTGACTTGAGCCAGCATGTTCCTCACGTTAGTAATTTCTTCTGTCCTGTCCGCCCTCTGGCCATGAAGAGCAGGAAAGGTAGGCTGCCTTGATGTGATCTGAAAGTCTAGAACCTTCCCTATTCTTTACAGGTCCTTGGCGTAGAGACAACACCCTTAGCAGGAAAGGCTTGGTTTATAGTGATTCAAATATTTAGTGTAGAAAGAGGCTTTAGAAATCATTGAATGTAAACCTTCACCTTAAACACGTGGATACAGAAGTAATGAGAAGGGAAATGATATTGAAAATAACTGTCCATTGGGATCCATTCACATTTTGACTACAAAACCAGAGCTCCCCAGTGTACCTTGGTTCTAATTATTTTGAAAAGAATACTAGATTTTATTGTGCATATGTGTCACCTGTACAATTATCTTGAATGATGATTAAAACTCCTTAGCTATTCAGTTGTTATTCAATGTCTTACATGAGGATCTGTAAATTTAGAAAGCATGTTAGATAACCCTAAATCAAGCAGACAAGACTTTGACCAGCCTAAAAGAACAGAATCTGTAAGTGATAGATTTTACATAAGCACTATAAAACACAGTTTAGAATGTCAGAAATTAAGATCCAAAGAAAGGAAGTGATTTGTAGGAGAATGAGAAATCTGTGATAAATTTCAAATCTTTTAGACTTATGTGCCATGGTTGTATCACATTATTTTACTACCTAATGGAATATGAAGCATGCTGGCTGAGTCTTCTGTCATTTCCTTATGCTTTGCTTTTAAATTTAATGTAATCTGTGGTACAATATTTATTTGACCATGTCAATTTCAGGATATACAGATTTATATAGGAAGACAAAAACATGTGGGTGCATATGTTGGATATATACATTCATGCACACATAGATAAGTTACAAGGCACAATCAATTTTAAGATGATTCTTAATTTCTGAGATACCAAAACTGGTTTTAAAAACATCTTATTCAATATAATGTAAATATCAAGGTTCACAAATACTTTTCAACTTCTTTGCATGCCCAAGTTGGGCAGCACTGTCTGGAAATTTTGGTGCCAAGAGTTCTTGGACATGCTAAGTTTGAAACAATTAGGACCAAATCAAGTTGGATGCTCAGTAGTGAAACAATCAGAGTAATGAACACTTATTCCTATCGGTTCCTAATAATTAGACCAAAAAAAGTAGAGAAAAGCTGTTGAATAAGCTAACTTGTATTTAAAGATCAGTGTACTAAACTGTGCTATCTTTAATACCGTTCACTGCACAAGTTTCTTCCTATTTTCCTTTCTTATTTCTGTAAAGGAAACAATGACACCTGTCCTCAATCCATTAAAACACGTTAACTATGAATCAACAACTAGTTCACATATAACATGTACAATTTTCCAAATGGTTTTGCATAGCTAATGTAACCCACTCTAATTCTATGAATTGAATAATTGTACCCTTTCAACATCTGTGGAATTGTGACCTCAAGAATCTGAGTACCTTGTCAGCTCAAGTAGGATCAGTAATAGAGCATAAACTTCAACTCACGCCTATGCTATTTTTGTTTGTATTTGCACTACGATGATAAAATATTTAAAAATTGTAAAGTAAAAATATTTATGACCTTTTAAACTTAAAAATATATACTCAGAGTAATTGTAGTTTAAAAATTATTATTTCTGTTCCTCAGGGGTCACATGGTCTTGGGAGGAGCACCTGGCTCCTTTCTTTACCAGTTCCATCTATGTGAAGCTAAGTCAAAGGTCCTGTTCAACTGTGGCTGGCTTCACTTGGAAACATGGAGGAAATGTTTCCTCTGTGTTGACCCTCCTCTTTGTAGACTGGACACTGGTGCAAGTACATCTGGTGGGGTCACCACAGGCTCCTTGATCAAGAGGACAGGTGACTCACCATGGTTACAGGACATTTTGAGAGATACTCCATAGTCCTCTGGAACTTAGTCGACCTTAGAGGGCAAGGAGCAAAAACTGTCCAAATCCCTCTGACCAGATTAGTACAGGCCTCAAAGTATAGCTGTTAAACATCCAAGAAGGTTAGTTCCATCAGTCTGGTACTTTTAATTACCATGTGCTACATTGATAAAGCTTTGGAAAAAACCAAATGTTCTCAGATAAACCTTGACCAGACATATATTATGTTCCTTAAACTAGTTGAGCTAGTATAATTTGTTAGAAGGTTGTTGGACTAATATGGTTCCCTCTGTTTCTTTTAAAAACCAACTAGGCATTATTTATCTTTCTCATTGTCTAATCCTTCTACCACTGTTTCCCCATTTTTTCCACCCTCAAACTACCTTAAGAGTAAAAATAAATTGGTTAATCTAGGTCAACTGTATGGTATTAAACACCCGAAAGGAAAGTATAACCAAAGACTAAAGTGATAAGTATAATTCCTTAAGAGTACATGTGTGTAGCTAAAGGCTATATAACAAGAAACAGGAAATACCTTCCTTTGAGTTGTGGGCCACGGTGGCCCAAGAGACTCCCAGACAATAACCCAGCATAGAACTGGGGAAATGGACAGCAGACCCCAATCTTATCTAAAGGAATATTAACAACCAATTGCTGCTGGATGAGGAAGAGCTAAATAAGAAACTCTAGATAGGCTAACTAGACTCAGGAGATGGACTAGCACTGGGGTAATGGTGGGGGCACCAATAACACAGTGGACAGTAACAGGGATGACAGAGTATATATGCTCCAGGGGTGGGGGGTGTGGAGGCTATGGGAAGATGCCATCTGGGATGTGGGTATAAAGATGAATAAGATTGTTTGAGATGTTCTTTTTGAAATACACACACATGCACAAAATCAATAAATAAAAAACATGAGAAAAAAGAATGTGTTCATAGATATACATATATTAAGTAGATATTTGTGTTTTCTTTCCTCTATTTCATTATCATGTAATGTAAAATAGAGATAATAGTGATAAAAGTCGTTATTTCAGCTGAGAATTTAGGTCAAATATGTAGTTGGATACATGATGTCAAGAGCAGTGAATGTCTTGGAGATTTTAAAATGTTTTATCTCTCTCTCTCTCTCTCTCTCTCTCTCTCTCTCTCTCTCTCCAAATGCCAAGGAATAACAGCCAAGCACCACCTAGGCCAGAAAAATAAAGAAGAATAAGTACTGACCTGTCCTCCTTGACTGAAGACACCTGGAAAAAAGCCATAAAACACAGAAGCTGTAATTAATGAATGTGCACAAAAGTGAGACACACAAAATTATCAGAAATGTGTTTGCCTATTCCTGATTGTTGGCCATCTCATGTCATACCTTGTTTTACTTAATATGCAATGTAGCATCTTTTACTCCTCAGGGAGCAGTAGAAACTTGGATGGACATGTAACATGAAAATGATACAGCATTCATGGAAGGCCCTAGAGCTTAGTGTCATTTCTTAATATTTTACACTGTAAAGAGTATCTCAGAGAAGTGAGATATTTCTTTAGTTGACATGGGTTATTAAAGGAAAATATGAGGCTGAGTCATGGGTCTAGTCACCGTAGTAGACATTCTATCCACCAATTAATAGACTAATAAAGAAGATCTATTTATTAATAGATAGGAAGGGGTCTGATCATCTAGACAGTCCTGATGCTTAGAAATGCAGCCTTTTTGTCTGCAAATGAATATCATTTTACAGTATGATTTTGAGCTTCAGTTAATAAAATATAGAGCTATTTTTCATTTAAGTGGCCAGTAACATTCCCTGCATGAAAAATTATTTACGTCACTACTCACAGGGTGCTCTTCCTTATAAGGCTCAGTGGCTTCTTTTCAGAGTTCACCACAAACAAGTATCTATTTTTCCCCATGTTCCAATTTTAACTATTTGATTCCCATTTGTAATAATAACTAAGGAGAAGAAAGTTTTCCTGGAATGCCAAGATTAATTTTAGGGCCAATTATTCATCTTCTAGACTAGTCCTTAGGAATAAATATCAGCTATGATGTCTTAAGATCTGGATTTGAATTCTAAATTCCATGAGCTTATTGTAAGTCCTTTGATAACTTCCTTCCTGCATTCCAGTTTCTTATATGCAGAACAGGGATACAAAATTTTTACAAGAGACTCAGAGATGATGTAAAGCAGCTTTCAGCACAAGCCTACAATACAGCATGTGCTCGGCGAGTGCCACTTCTTATCTTCCTAACCAGCATAATTTTCATCATCATAGTCACTGACATCACCATCACCCTTTTCTCTCTTAATTGGTTTTCATATAACATCATTAGACATTTGAACCCTGGAGAAGAGATATTCTTTTCCTTTCGGCTTCCATGTGAGTATTGGATATTAATTTTAAGGAAAAAAACTCACCTGATAAAAAGCAGAAAAGAGCCAGAGAGAGGAGCAGAAAGACACCTGATATTTTCATGGCGCCTGTTGGCTCACTCAGATCAAGGCTTCTTTGATCAGCTTAGGTTCTCTGTCAAGATACTTTCCAGAAAACCCTAGAGCACACACTCAGACATATATATAGACAACAAAAAGGGAGTTGGAATCTCCACCTTCTTTTATAAAAATCTCCTTCTAAAACAATATGCAGTCCAATATACCTTAGGAATTTATGAGGATCTGTCACCAGCTTAAAAAAATCTCATACTCCCATCAATTTTAAGAAGGAAGACAATTATGTGAGTCGCACCTTAGATCTTATTAATAAAGGATGTCATTTTCTGCTAGTAACCTACATTTTCCTAGCAACCAATACATACCCCTGCTTTTTCCCTCTAAGGCTTCACTACATTAAAAGGATGATTCATAGGCAGAATTTTCCTTCTTCCAATGTCTCCTTCAGACAGGTCCTACATGTCTGTGGTCCAGATGAGTAACCAGCAGGAAATGGAATTCCTGGGTGTAACTTGGATTTTCCAAGCCTTCAAGATGTTCCTATATAAAAGCAGTATTCATTGTTACCAGTACTGCATCAGAACAAACATCTGGGCAAGGATAAGCTTGTTAAGTTTTAAATCATTACTGCAGTCAAATGACAATGATTTCCAATTTTTTTAATTAACAAAGGGAAGTTAATTTTTTATTTTTATTTTGTAAAAGAAATATTGCAAAAGTTACTGGTTTGAGTCTTTGAAATGGACAATAATGAATATTCCATTTCTTCTGCAAGCTAAAAAACAAGGCCTAATAGATATCCTTGTTTCAAATAGTGTCTAATAAAACTTTTGATCTTTTTAATAAAAATACATTGTTTATTCATACTCAACAAAACCTATGTCATACGGAAATATTCAAACAATGAAAAACTTTTTTTTTCAGATTTCCCAGTAAGATAACAGTCTCTAAAGCAGTCACATGTGGACATTACCCATTTAAACACTTTTTTTTTACATTG